GAGTTTTATTTGTGCTCTCAGTGCAGGGACCTGCAGCAGAGCTCTGTAACAGTGCTCTTAGTCCAAACGCACAGATACATCTTTCCTAGTCAGCAGTGAGATCACCCATGCCACTGATCTGAACCCAGTAAATGGAAAACGCCTTAGCTTAGCATTTTGCCTTTGTATCACAACATGTTGTCCCATGACTTGAGCTTTTATTGTGTAGTTCATCCATTCTGGTATTGTCAAGCCTTCATTACAAGTTCCAAAGGGGCTTGGTGAAAATATAAAGTGTTACTCTGTGTTTTAAAGGGAAAGCAAGATAACATAGGTAAAGAACAACAGCTAAAATTCATAACTCTTTGCTGATCATTAGGTTTTCCACCCAATTCCAAGCTCTCTCATATTGAGCTCAATATCATTCATAAGCAAACAGGATGAGAAACAAAAGAAACAATAAGTCAGAGACCCATTCCATGAACTTTTTGCATTTAATCCTGCACAAGAAGTTTCAGTCCTTGCCTTCCCTGTATCTTAAGAATTACAGATGACTGACTACAATAAGCAATGGCCTAAGAATAATTTATACAGACAGCAACTAACTAGACTAAGACTTTCCTTGACTGGACACCAGTGCAGGAAACTATGCCAGAAGTTTACCAAATCTGGAGCAGCTTGGAAAGCATGACTGGAAATAGACCAGTTGCCATCTCCTCCACTGTAAAAAAAAAATAAAAAAAATCAGCAGCATCAAGTGAATCTAGCAGCAGACAAGCCCAAAACAAGTAAGAGAGTGCAATTCTTCACAAGATGTGAGGGTATGAAAAATAATTCCCTTGGGATGTAACCAATTCACAAGGTAACTCAACAAGAAAGTGTTAACTGATGTCTGTTTAAGATCTGTCATGTTTAATTGTTGTCAGAATATTTAAAGAATACACCACTGCAATGCTCAACTTAAAAACATTTTTTAGCCACAGCCGGAGACAGGATGCTGCAGCAGGCAGATACCTGGTCTGATTTAGTTCAGCTGTTCTTATGAGCAGCTAGCTACCAGCTGGCTTGGAATGAGGCTTATTTCAGAAAAGCTGAATTCTATATTCAGGTGGGTTTTTTCCTTAAGAATTTTGAAAAAATATGTAGCTTTGCAGAAGTTTGTGCTAGGAATTCTGTACATGCACTTTAACAAATTAAAATGAAAGAGCAACAGGGCCTATAAAAGAGTTTTAAGAGTTGTCTCAGCTTAAATGAGGTAAGGTCCTGCCAGAATAAGTCCAGGGCAGAGGAATGGATGACAAATAGTTACTGACAGTTTATAGATGACAAGCTAGGGGACTATTACGTGATAGATAAAATCATTTGTCCTGAGCCAACTGTTCTGTGACCCAGTTAAGCAAACAACTCCAAATTTCTAGCTGTATCTTCAACAGTCAATACAGATTAAAAATCCAAATACAGGATTTTCTTTTCCTGTTTTGAATAATGTATTTCCCCATGCCCTAGATTTCACAACTCTGCACAAACATTACAGTGTGCACTTCTGTCAGCCTCATGAGCTCAGCAAGGAGAGCCTGTCTCCCTTTCCCCTGAGAGAGGCAAAGGCCAAGTTACAGAGCATCATATAAAAAGTGATTCCAGCCAGGCAGCCTTGTGTATGTTTCAGTATCAAGCTGTTTTCTCTCAAAGCAACAGCAACTGCAACCTGAAACACTGTGCCTGTAAGTCTAGTTGTCATGTCCTACCTCCAACCAGCAAGATGCCCATTCCAGCTGCTTCTTGTATTCTCCTCTGCTACCCCAATAAATTATTAAAAAAGGTCTCTTGCCTTCTCAATGAGATACTTGCCAATTTTCTCTACCTGTTTTCCCTAATAAATCAGTTCACCATCATTCCTTGCTACTATGGAAACAAATCTGCTCTGCCAGAGCCTTTTTTTTTTTTAACATGAGAAAAGACCTGTTGGATCTGGCATCATTGAAGCAGTGAGTGCAGCTGGAAGTGAAACAAATTTGGAGTTCAAGTACCAATTCTACCAGATCCAAGAACAAGGGTTTTGTGTCTCCTGCTCCAAATTTTTCCTTTAGGCTGTCCTCTTCTTCCTAGGGTGTGCTACAGTATTTTGCTAACTTAACTGCTGCAGCAGAGCCCTGAGAAAGTCTAGTATGAGAGGCCAACAAGGTGGAGTTGAACTACAAGTTCTTAAATCAGAAACAAAACAAAACAACAACCACTTTTCATTGGAAGAGCTACAGGATTATATTTGTCCTTAAAAATTTCTTTGATCAGAAACCCAGAGATCTGTCAAATCACAATACAAAAACAAAAGCTGTGAACAGTTACAGCAGGAAGAGCTC